GTGGTGGTGGTGGTGGCGGTGGCGATGGCGATGGCGATGGCGATGGCGATGGCGATGGCGGCGGGGGCGGGGGCGGCGGTGGCGGTGGCGATGGCGTTGGCGGCGACGGCGGTGTTGATGTGTTGATGATGTTTGTGGGCATTGTGGGGTGGTCGTTGCGGCAGTGGTGTTCTTGGTGGGCCTTGCACTGTTGTCGCTGCCTTTGCTGCTGCAGTTCGTATCCTCGCGGCCATGAAGGCTGTTCTGAAGGTACTTGCAGTTGTCATGGCCACAGCATACAGTACCTTAAGAGGTTGTCAGCCCAAGGATTGGGATCCCAGTCTCCAATTCATAGAGAAGTGGATTCTGTTGTGGATTGGATTGGTGGAAGCTGTACTCTTGGTTCGAGAAGAGGGTTTTACTCTCTTTGTTCAGCAATACAGGGCTACTTTGCAAGTTGACCGGGCATGAGGCAGAGACCATACGGTCACGTAGGGTCCTGGTGACAGCTACTCGAGCAACTGAACACAATTTAGGAGACCAGCACCTCTGAACTCCATTTCTCCAAATTAGATTCGATATGGGTTGTTGGCAGAATTATAGGCTCCCTTGGGGTATGGATTCTATTACGGCACCAACATGTGACCCTGACCCAAATTTTGGCAACTACGCGCTGCTTGGTCCTGCCTCTTTCTTGAAAAGATACTTTGCAAACAGATTATTCATAGGGGGCCTCCGTTACTGACGAAGAAGTTTTACAAGGCTGCTACCCAACAAACGCAGATCCCTTCAGTGAGCTTGACTGGGACTCCTGATTGCTCAAATATTGCGTAGCCAGGCATGTCACGCAAGCAGCCATGCACAGAAACATGAAGACGCGACTTAATGTACAAGATTATCATTGAAGCTCACTGTAACAGTAGCAGAAGTATGCGAATGCTAGCCACGATGTGATCCAAGGCGTCCAAACCCTTCGTGCGCTGGTGCCCAGACAGCATTTTGTAGACACTGTCAACAGAAAAGGAAAGCTGTAAAGTGGCAAACCCCGAGCCGCCTATGCCCGCCTCATGCACAAGGACGATTACATTCTGCCTAGTGACTCTCAAATTTTGAGAGTTGTTGCTTCTCAACTACAAATTTTGGTAGTTTCATAGCTATACTCTTAGTTCCAGAAACAATGGATATATGTACAGTATGTACATACGTGTTTACCGTAGTGTAAACTCCGCAGGTACGGTTTCATGAAGCAAGTCAGGAATGCTACAACATCACCGGCATCCGACTGCGGAACTTCCCGGAGTTCATCGTAGCCTTCGCCATGGTGAAGACCTGGGCTGACGTAGCAACATATAGTCGGTAGTCATATTAGTAGCAACCGAAATAGTAGGAGTAATCGTCATATTATTAGCAATAATCGAAAAAAGCATCATGAATATAAGGCTAGATAAGGTTCTATAGGGGTAGTGCAGGGATGTGTTGCCCAAATAATGGAGAATCAAGTGGGAAATAAAATGGAACATGACATGGGCACTGGGTTGAAACAGTGGGGCTGGGCGTAAGACTTGAGATTGCAAACTAGTAGATATAGCTTATGGGTGAGTGTACCAGTAGGGACCCCATCTTGAAACTCCTTCGTAATTTGCTTCTCCTTAGGGCCCCCTGTTGTGAAGAAACCAAACGTCAGCAGAGCTCCCCCCGTTAAGGCCAGGTCCCGTAACCTCAGACCTTAAAAGAGTATAAATCACGCGCAAATCCTAAAGCCCTGTAGTCCTTAACTATCATCCTAGCGTGTCTCAAGGTCATGGGCTATGGATATAACAAGAGTTCTGGCATTTATCTGGGGATTGTTAGGGGTAGCTCTACCCTAAGAAGTGACGAAGTAAAGCCAGAGACTCCCTGTAGGAAGGCCTGCGCACAAGCAAATTACAAGCTTGGGCTCCTGGACATGACGAAGAAGGAGCGGAAGCTTTCCGTCTCAGGGTTTGGGACTTGGATTTCAGAGTTAGGCAGGGAAAAGGTCAAGGTCATCTTTAGCCTAGGACTTTGGGAGTTTGAGAAGGCATGCTTGAGGCTCGGCTAATTCGAGTTCTCACGGAGCTTGCTGTTGCTCCACAGACAGAGTAACCTGGGACCTCCAGACTGATCAGAAGGATGGGCGTGGTGGAGGGTGGAGGGAGGACGGGGGTGGGTTGTGCTTGAGAATTGGTGGGGGGGCCTTGATCAAGTCCAAGACAGCTGTGGAGCGCCGGTTCAGGAGCCGGTGTCTCACAGGGCTTTGCCATCGAAAGGAGAAGTCCCCGTTTGAGATAGCCCATCCTGGAAAATCATTTGCAGTCATTCTTTCCAACGATTGCGGAATGAGTCTGAAGGGAGGCTGCGCATTTCTCCCTGGAGCTTCTTTTGCGCTCCATAAAGAAAGGTCCGTAGATGTATGTCTCTAGCTTCTTCACAGGTGAGGGCCCTTTTTGTTGGGAAGTACTATATACATTGTGGGTACCCATTGGGATAATATTACCCCAAGAATAATGGAAAAGAAAATGGAAACTATTGTAATGGTTATATATATATATGTATATACCCCCCCTTGAGGGACTGAGAGCTCCATGCTTTTCCAAGTAACGTTTTGGAGAGTAAGCGAGTAAGCTTCTGGCCTGCTACTGTAAGATTGTGCCAGGAAGCCATCTGCCGTGCGTGCCATGAGCTTATTGCAACTTGGCCTGTTTTTAACAAAGGAATAGGAGTAGTAGCAGTAGTAGAGTTCATAGATGTATGGAATGATTTGTTGGAATTTGGAGGCTTAGCAATGATTATGATGAATGGCCTGGTGTAGCCGCCATGCCCGGCCACTCGCAAGCAGCCTGTCGCAGTGTCCCACTACAGAGGATCCTTTCGACACGGAGCATGGCGACAACAAGGGGACGGAAATGCGTGAAAACTTCTTGGTGGATATGATTCAAGGACTGCCTCCGGAGGGGTAGTGAAAGGGCTGTCACACGAAGAGGTTGCTTCTTTGCTTGGGGTTGGGTGTCTTGATAAGGAACCCTTTTCAGGCCACCATTTTTTGGCAACTCACATCTTTGGGATGTTGATTTCCGAGCTAGTGGCTTCTGCACTTTCAACGTCTAGACAGTCATTGATTTCTCACAATAAACAGCACCAAGAAGCACAGCAAAAGCTACTAGTTACTAGTTTTCATGCATTACCGTCTTGTTTGGAAGGCGTCAGTTGGGCATTTGCATGCGTGTCAGTTCCTTCCGGTTTCGGAATGGGAAACATCTCCTTAAATGCCTGTGTATAAATGTCCACCTCATGATAAGATCACCCCCCCACCCCACACCCCCAAGGATGTGGGCCCGAGCCTCCGTAGTTAAGGGTATCCGGGTCCATGAGCTGGAGCTCCAGTCGTCGCAGCCGTAGTACTCGCCAACAGTACACAGTGCATTTCCGGCGCTTCCAAATTTTTGCGTTTTGGCAGGTTGGATTCTGTAAATACGGGTGGTTTGTAGTAGTTACGTTCTGGGATTTGGATTTTGCAGTTACGCGGGGGTGTATTAACATGAGGTCAACAATACTGAAGCAACTAGAAGGAATCAGCCTGGTCATATCTGTAGGGCATCAGAGTGATGACCATGTGTAAGCAAATCATCTGCATGCAGGTGGAGCCGGTACTTCCACGAACATGAACGCCAACGAGGCGGGTTGGCCCCCTTTTAGTGTTTTTTCCAGTCCTTTTGCAGGGTCTTGCAGGAAAGGAGGATACCAACTCGATGGGGAGTCAAAAGGGGGGAAATTTGTGTAGAGCGCAGTCCCTTATACGATCACGTCCAGACGTGGCTGAAGTCTACAAGAGCTTGTTATAGCTTCCTGGTCTTAAGAGTTCTGATATAGCTGAAGCCTGGGCAGGTGATCGCGAATAGAGCTCTGGAGATACTGGGCAAGGAGCTTCGGCGGGCAAAAGTTTGGTTGAGAGAGGTTCGCCTCCAACCCCAGTGCGGATGAAGCAATTGGATTCACCAAGCTGTTCACCGGCTAGCTGTTGATTAGGAGACCAGTAAACGGCAGTTTGCTCATGAATTTCTCAGTTTTGTTGTCTATGAGGCTAGACTCCTCCCCTAGAAGAGCATCACCGAAGTGTCAAACGAGCACAGTGAGTAGCAGCAGGAGGAGTGGAGTAGCAGTACGTAATAGTAGTCAGAACAAGATAAAGATGATAGTGAAAGACCAGCAGTCAACCTCGTCATCATCGGCCATGGGCATGTGGTACGGTAGTTGTTGTTGTGGTGGCAGTGGCAGTTGTTGGGGAGGGGCTGTGGCGACGGCGATACTGCTTTACAATAGTTGCAGTAGTAGCAGTGGGCGCAGCAATGGCAACACGAGAGCAGCATGCGAAGAACAAACTAGTTGCCATAGTAGAAGTACCCCGTACTAGATGATTATCACATCAATGCGCGGCTTAGCAACGACCAGTTTCTTAAAGCCCTGAGGAGCGCGGCCAGTACGAATTCTGCAGTCCAAACGATGATGTCAACAAAGGCCAGTCCACCAATGATTCGCTGCTTGACTTGCACGTTGCTCCAGATCAAATGGGCACCAGCAGGATTTCATAATGAGCTACAAGCCCTGACAACATTTGCTGAGGTATCCCACGTCTGCGAAGGTTGCATGCATCCTTATGCACTCCGAGCTTTTGACTGCCATCAAGAACCTGAGCACCGCCTTCTTTGACAAGGCTAGGGATTGTGGGGCACGCGAAGACAGCAACATAGTGGCTTGCGCCTTGAGATTCCTAGAGGCCATGCAATCTCGCAGCGTAAAATCAAGAAAGGACCCTGCGCCCTCAGCATACTACTCACATCTCGCGCCTAGATTTAGTGGGTGCATTCAGTACAATATGCGAATGCCAGCAGCAGGTTCGCAAAACTTATCCGATCATTGTAGCAAGCAAATGAACGCGGTTCCATGCTCGTACAGCAGGCGCGGGAATTCTCCGATGTTGTGAAGATACTCGGCTCCAGCCTGCCAGTTCTACGCCATGGCCCCCCGAACTTGTATCGCTTTCAAGCTTCTTCCGGTGTGCAAGCCTTGCTTCTGCAAGCGGTGACCGCTTTTTTGCAATCCTGTGCTTGCAAAGCCTCCTTCATTCAGCAAGCTTTCATCTGAGAGGCGAGTGCAAGAAACAGCCGCTTGGGGAGGTTTATTATGGGGACCCCCAAAAAGGTACCACTAAGTTTGGGAAACCCCCAAATATCCCAGGATGGGACGAACTCAGCTGCAAGATGCGGTGCCCATGACCCTGGGCCAGGACAATAACATGCTGTGCAGTTGGTCCCATATTGGGGTTAATGTAAGGATAATGGAAAAGAACATGGAAACTACTATGTTATATAGGGGTTATATAGGGATGATTAAAAATAGCATTGAAACTACTACATTAGATAGGGGCTATATAGGGATAATGGCAAAGAACATGGAAACTACTTTACTATAATATATAGGTTTATACAACGGTCATATACTTCGTATTCGCACATGGCTGGCAAGATTCTGCGCCTTTCTAAGCTCTATGTACCTATACCTACAGGATGTAGGGAAGTTGTTGCAGGGATTCTGCATGACATGTGACCTGTTCAATGTGCTGCTACCGTAGGGATGAGGAGGCTTGCGCCGGGATGTTTTTTTACAGCGGAGCAATGCTTCCTTGCTTGGAAGTCATGTTTGTAGGAATTTCACGCTTATGGCAACAGCGTGGCCAGTGACATTGAAGCACTGATTCTCGGCTGGCGTGAAATAGAGATGCAGCTCCCCCTGTCCATCAAGAACCCGCACTCCAAGTAGACAACGCATTATAAAAAGCCATCATAGTCTCGAACGAGGCGAAGTTGTTCCATAGCGTCCCAGCTTAGTGACTGAAGTCGGAGCCGGAGCTTCGGCTTTGGAGAGTTTACAGCTTAGAGGGCATCACGACGCTCAGGTCCAGCGCAGTGAATCGGTGTCTTGGCTAGTCCATTGATTCCAAGCTACAAGCACTAGATTTTTCCCAAGATTCTGATTTGTTGCTACACCTGCCAGCCCAGATTTTGCACCTCAAACTTGGGCGGCACTGCGATCGGGACCGGTATCGCTGCGGACCCCCACTTCTCTCAGATAGCCGTGCAGGACCTGAGGGAGCCCCTTTCAGGGTTGCTGTAGCAAGGACTATAAAAGTAGAACATTTGGTGTGTAGACGGGGAACCCATTTTTAGTTGGGTCGCAAGGGCATGTCAGAGTGAGAGCATTTGTTGTGAAATAGAGGGCTCCGGATGGCCAACAGATTTGCGAAGATACTCCCAAGAAGGATGTCACAAGATTCCATTCGACAACTGCAACTGTTTGTGACTAAGCTAGTCTTTTTAAAAGTATCCTTCACCCTGCAGAAGAAAACCTAGGAGCATCCTTAGCAACAGGCTTACCCTCTCCAAACTAGAATGAACACCCAAAAGTCCCTACGAAGACTACCGCCTCGTTAAGAAACGGGTTTATATGAGGTTTGGTTTAGCTTTTTGCAGGAGCCGCGAGCCTTCCTTGGCAGCCTTGCCAGGAGCTCCGGACAGTAACTGGCTTCCCCATGATCTTGGCAGATGATCTCATCGAAGCCTCCAGCAGCGTAGGCAGCACCAGGGATGTTGCGGTAGATGAGGCTTGGGTTTTTTAAGGCAAGGCGTGTAATTCTAGAAAGTTGGCAAGGGACCACGGTACACCAAAACAACGAAATCCACGGCGATCATGAAGTTGCAGTTGTGCACTATTTGGGGGCAAAGGTTTTGCAAGCTTTGTTGTGGAGTCCATTGTGGAGTGCAGTGCTGGGCAACAGTGCAAAGAATTGGTGAGCATGTGACGTTGTTTTTAGCCTTTCGACTCACATCAACCTGTTGAGTGTTTGTCTAGAACTGTTTAGTAAGTCCTTGTATTTTTTCGGACTAGGAAGCTAGAGGCAGAATTTGGCCTCTGGTTTTCCTGGCTACTGCTTCGATACCGAAAGTGTGGGGGAGCGACAGTTGCTCAGCATCTCTTGCCTCAGACCTTTTCCACGCCTCAAAACCAATTGGAACTTCACAGAGTCCCTTGATTCCCTCTACACTACCAGTACATCCCTCCATTGGGTTCTCCAAACCACTCATGCTGCGAAATTTCCCTGACACAGCTATACGGACTCTGGGAGGTGACATGATCTACGTCTCTGGCATGCTGCGCCGGATCGCAGTCAAATCCTCAAACATGGCTTGTGCAATTTTTTCGGGGGGGATATGAGTAAGAATCTCAGCCAGGAAACTTTTTTCTGTCGGGACAATTAATGGCCGTGATCATTTCGCAGATGTGCACAGAAGACTTTGAGACGCCTCATGTGAACCTGTCCAATGCTTCCAGAACTGATAGGCGCCAGGCGCACAGATGAAACTCCACTGCCACCATGGCCTGCCAAGAACTTCCGAAATGCCCTGCTGAGAGCCAATGCGTGCTGCCTCCGCTTTATTTGCTTTGTTCTATGGAACGAAGGCCATGGGTTCGTGGCCTTCTTGTCTTCGATGTCAGGGCGGGCCAGGTACACCATGTTGCGTAAATGTAGGCCAACAAATCGACCACGAATGCCAAAACCTCGCGCGCTGTGTGTCCAGAATTCAGTATAATATAATCTCTCGTCCGAAGAGGAAGATACTCACTTCCAAAAACGGAGGGGACAGTGACAGTGGTTCTGGTACATAGCCACCTCGACAACTCAGGCCAAGGTCTCCAAGATTTGCAATGATCTGCGGCTTTTATCGTCAGGCCTGTAACACTCATTGATCTAGGCTTGTGGCTGGGCACAGTAGGGAGCAGATTCCATCTGATTGAAACAGCAATAGGCTCTCCATCCATATCTCTGCCGGTGGCAGTGCAGGCCCCCGTTGTGGGCTGGCGGAGATCAACTTGCCGCCAAAGGCGCCAGGCCAGCGATTTGGACAGTTTAGAGTTTAGATGTGACGGTTGCATGCGTCCTATAAATCGTTGCGCCACCTTGATGTGTGACCCTGTGCTTTGTTTTACTGCAAATGTCGGCGAAGGCCAGCAGCCTCAAGAAGCCCAGCAAATTCATGCACATAGTGTACTGTAGCTTGCTTCAGAAAATTTCTTGAACTGAAAGAGCGACCTTTCGCAGAATGGATTGACAAGTTGGCAGGTTCATCGATCATGCCGGGAAAGGCAGCTTTTGCTTGATCTTTTTCGCATTGCAATCTGTTTGTGCTTAGGATCTGTCTGTTGCGTTTGCATGTACATGGGAGGCGTTCAGCGTTGACACTGTGCAAGCTCTACGGGACGTAGGTTGTTGTGGGCTAGGTCTCACAAAGCAAGCCAAGCCAGCCCTCGTTCACAGACTTCGCATGCTGTGCAGGTCAACCCAGTAATTCCGGAGGTTATGAACATGTGCCCCGCCGCAGAAGTCGTCAAACATATTCTAAGATTGCCAAGCTATGCCATGCACATGTGGAGCAAAGGCTCACATACACACAGGCGGAATTCTCTGCGTAAAGACGGGCAGCTGCAATTTGATTTGGAGGGACCGGGCCTTTTCTGGTGAGACTTGCTTACATCTCATCAAGGCGGGGAGCATGTTGACGCCTTCTGCATATAGGCCGCATCAAAAAGCAGTGTTTTTTTAAGGAAGCAATGGCCTTTGCACCTCTAATCCCAGGTGCGCGTTCGAGGCCATTGGCAACGATATTACCGTGGTTTTCGGCGCAGAGGCACGGACATCATGATCATAAACCTTCCTTAACTCCCAACGAAGACATCTTTGGGATAGATTAGGAAGTGAGGTGGGGTGCGTTTATTGTTTTTGTCCGGTTTTTTTCCAGTCGCATGTGAGGGAAAGAGGTCTCGGGTTCGGGGCATATGCATTCTTAGGATGGCAAAGGGTTTGGGATCAAAAAGGATGCCTCTAAGTTCAAATGGGGTCTCTTGGTGCATCGTTGCCCTACAGTTGGGGAATGCCCACACTGTATTTCGTATTGCTTGGCGAGTAGATGTCAGAAACGCAACGCTTTGGCCTTTGGCAGATTGCTTAGAAGAAGGGTTAGCATGACCGTTGCCATCCTGCATCCCGATGTATGAAGGTTGGTTGAGTGGGTACAGTAGTCCGGATCTCGGGGCTACATCGAAAGTTGAGAGTGACAGTGGTGCTGCACATCTGCAGGGGGGTTCCCACATGTGTTGTGGTGTGCGTTCAGACAAAGGCGAAGGGCACCTTTTAGAGTGGAGTCTTCCATTCTTTATTGGGCGGCCCCCAATCATGTGACGCAGCGAGGCTGGACAGCTCGAGCTCAACGTCATGGAGCCCGCTGCTTGACCTGATCTACAGAAGCCTCCTGCATCAAACCCGGCACCAGACAATTTGCAGCGTCTCCCTTCAGAGCCAGCCTAGGTCATCATATACAAGCTCTTCAGTACCCTTCGGGTGCTTGCACGAGGCTGGGAACATCACGGCTTGCTATCCTTGATCGCAAGAAGCTTGGTTTAATGATGCCATGATGCAGCAAGCTGCTAAGCCAGCAGCACTGGTCATGCAAAATTCGGGGCCACACCTGCAGATCGATTTCATGCCGGCGGGTTGGCGAGGTAAACAAAGTGCTTTTGCCAGCAACGTCAAGTTCTGATGTCTAGCCCGCATCGACAGCTATGGTCCACTGATCCCGGTAGGGTCAGTCTCACTTTGTGCTTGCTTCTCAAAAGGGTTCTAGTTTTGTTGCGTTGAGTAATTTTGTATTTGCGACTTTTTCGTCGAGCATGGTTGAAGACAGAGTGCAGTGCGCGAGGCATCAACACGCTTCGAAGCCATTGCATTGAAGGGATCACGGCCAACAAGGAACACTGCAAAGAGATGGTCCTTTGGCTGCGCGAATGATGCACGCGATTTATCTGTTCCGCCAACTGCTTTTTGTTCCCTCCCTACTACATCTAATGAAATCGAATGATGTATGTATCGGGTGAATCTGGGTGAGGTCTAAAGAAAAGTAGGGCATACCCAGCCCAATTGTTGTGAAGCGATTGCATGTCAATGGGTTTCCCTGCATGCGCGCAATTGTCTTGCACCATTTAGTAAAGTTGAATTCTTCGGCAGATCGGCGAAGCAGGTCAAAGCTGGGATGCCCATTCCAAGCTTTTGCTGCTTTGAGTCTACAAGAGAGATGCTGAGCAGAGTTCATGCTCCAAATGGTGTTTACCATGAGCTATCAAATGGAAGCCAGGTCTATAACAGCGTCGGGGTTGTGACGGCTCTTCTTCCACACATTGGCTACAAGAAGTGCACAGAAGCGGCAGCAATGGCTGTGAAGGCACACTGCGCCAGGGCAATTAGCAGAGGATGGCTATTTGTCATGAAGAGTTTGGGCTTAGGACGCATAATCCTGCGCACATATTGAAGGCATCTCGCGCGCGCAAAATCTGCAGTCTCTAGCCGGCGGCGTTGGTTGCAAAGACTGATGTTCACAGTCATGACAAAGGCTGCATCAGATTCCTTGCAAGTAGACTCTAGAGACTTCTAACTGACTAGTCCTTAGTGCATCGTGCCAACGCGAGGACAAGCGCCCTGTGGCTGACATCATCGTTGAGCTAGGCACCCTGCGGTGGAAAATGATCTCTGGAGATGAGAGTAAGCTGTTCGGAGTGCCTCTATTTCATAGAGTAAGTTGGGTTTGTCCAGGTTTGGTAGCTATGGGCTAGACGCTGGATTGGGAACCAAACTTCAGTAAGAACTGTCATAGTATGATAGCAAAGGTCTGGGTCGAAAAATATCAAGTGCTGTGAACAAAATGGCCGTTTGACCGAAGGGATGATGCAACCAACACTACGAGTCATGCGAACTGCAGTTGGCAATGCTCCAGGCTTCCTGAACCGGGAGGAAGTGGAAAAGCTGCTGCAACCTGAGTCTATGTGCGGGCCTACCGCCAAGAAGTGTCGGACCCACTGATTTGGTCGTGGAGTCGGTGCATTGATGAGAATCTGCCAGTGGTGGTATGGTTCTTTGCCATTTTAGCCTGATCCTCATATTCATCTAGAATTTAGATTCACAATCTGGAGCAGTAGACGTATGTGGCTTTGGAGCCCAAAATTTGCTTTTGTTCAGGCAGCTTCTACATGCACATTTTTGGACAGCAAATATACGTAGGCTTTGGAGTCTACAACCCGGTCTGCACCCGGGTTTTTATGGTATCATTTGAAAAGGAAGCTCAAGAGCCCTGGAGTAGGATGGGTAGGCTAAGGAATGATGGTATTCGTTTGTTTTTTGGTTCCCGTTTGAACGGCGTCCTACCTTTGGTGTTTGAGCTATCCACCTTTTGCGGGCCACCATTTGAATCCCCAAAGCGGGGACACTGCGCTCTGAGCAGCTTCCGGAGATCCGGACTGCAAGCCCCCCTGGTGCATGGCAGTGGTGGAGTGGTTGTATGGAGATTGTTCCTGGGACTAGTATAGGGTATGCCTTCCGTCATTCCCTAAGCACCAGGCAGGTAGCAGCCAGTGCAGGGTAGCCCGTCACTCGCTAACAGGCCCTTTGTACCACACAGGGCTGGAGAATCGGTTGTATACCAAATAAAGATTGGCTTTGCTTGGCTTTGCCAACAGCTGCGTATCCGAACAAGAATGTGCCAGGCTTGGATTCTGCGATTCCGCTAGTACTCAGTTACTCAGGGTGATGAGCTGTTGGAGCTGCTGGATCGATCAGTACGGTCGTGATTTCAGCCTTTGGTCGGGATTTCAGCCTTTTTGCGGGCTTCACGTTGGCTTTTCTACTTGTCTGACCTTGTTAAACATATGTTGGATAAGATGACCTGGCATGAAGCTCAAGCTCAAGTTTGGCTGGGTCTGCGTACTAGCCACATCAAATCAGTATCTGGTGCCCTTTCTGATGCCAGGTATACTCAACTACTTTGTCATCTCTCACCAGGCTGACGAGACATGTTCAGTGTTCAGAACGTGTCAGGCAGTTCTTTCCCAGAAACTGCGTTTGAAACCTAGCAACATCAGGGCTTTGCTGCAAGGACGCTGGTCTGTACCAGAGCAACCCTACTGCTCAGACTGGCTTGGTGCGCAAATCGATTAATTTGGGTTGCCGGAGACGTGTACAATGGCGCTACTGGTAATGTGCTAGGCGCAGTGTCGGGCCAAGATCCTCATGCGCATGCAAAGCAACTTCCAAACCCGCAGCAGAAACTCTCCCGGCTGCATCAACCACCGGAATCGTGACGCCGGTTGGTAAACCAAGCCGCCCCAAACACACAGGGCCATAAGCAGGATGCCCGCTCTCCTAGGCAGCACCATCGGCAGGTCCTACCTAGTCTGCTTTTAACATGCCCATGACTAGACAATAAGCCAGTACTCCATTGGTCACCACCCGATTTGAATTTGCCGCCGCAGGCAGCTTCTTTGTTGGCGGATGGACAGCCGTCCTGATCTCAGAGGGAAGGTGGAGGTTTACGGCTTGGTATTCAGAGATCTTGGGGCGGTGGGTGCCCCTCTGGACTCCTAAATTTAGCAGCATCCTCAACCCCGCGCTGGCCGCGAACAGGTGATGTGGGGTCCCTCTTCCATACCACGGAATAGTGTAATCCTGAATTTCAAGGACCTCAAATTTTCAAGCCCCCATCTTGCTGAAGCCACAGAATGCAATGGAAGGACCCCGGCCCTGAGCCTTCTCCAGCGCTTTGTCCAGGCCATGAGACACGATGAGACAGTAGAATGGTACAGGGAAGGAGTGCAACCTTGCATCTTTGATCCAAGGTTTTCTGGCTTGAGAAGTCAGAAGTGTGAACATCAGATGCAATGTCTAGCTGGTGACTCTGGCAGGGGAGGCACACTAAGGAAATATCAGGACCCTAACGGGCCGGAGCCTTGACTACCATATGAGCTGATCAGCTGCGTTAAGCACAGCCGATGCCTAATCGTATCCATGAGTATGTAGGCCGGCCCAAGTATTAGTAAGCAGCTCCCTTGCAAACAAGTCTTGATGCCATCGTCCTGTCTCATGGCTGATCTCTTTAATGGATAAATACAACACTCCGATGAGAGGAGCTGTTCATGTTCAGATAAGGTTGAGCTTCTCATCACCTTCCCTGAGAATCTAAGAGGCGTAGCGTTGTAGCTCTTCCTTGACGCTGACGCAGGAGGGCGTGTCCACAAAGGAGGGCATCTCCCTCAAGGCCACCAAGTCCATCCTCGTTTCAGACATGATTTCCATAGGATTGAAGCACCATTTCAGTGAAGACCAAGCCATGCGTTTGCCAGTCCTAGTCGGTGCTCAATCGTTTGAGGCTTCAGATGTACTTAAATCAGCTGGCGAACATCAGGTATTGCTGACGCCTCCGTTCTCAGCTTTGCACGGCCCATACGAGATGATATGCACCTAACCGAAGGGAACACTGTCAGTTTAGGCATGCTATGAGTTTCGGTCTAAGTGGTGGCATCAAGAGCTCCCAGCGCCAAGACCAACAGTTTTATTTGAGACACCCCGGGCTTCCAGCTGAAATCCAGCAGAACAAGTATCAATTTCAGCATAAGAGGAGTTGCCCTTTTATAGATGCCTACTTCTTCCTTGTGTGGACAGACTCACACAAAGCGCATGCGTAGGCACACACGCACGCATCCAGCGTGTCATCATTTAGTATGAACACTGATGACTTACAGAATTTCGAGGTGGTGGGTAGAGTTGAAGATCTGGACAAGCACGAGGTGCCGGAGTCCTTCAAGCGATCTCCAGCTGCAGAGTGGTGGGCAGGGGGGGGGTGCATCGTTGAATTGCAGTGCTGGACTCAACAGGGTACAGCTAGCATGTAGAACTGAGGTTCCTTGATAATCCCATCATAGATGTATTCATTTCATTGTCCATTTTCTTTTCCGTGTGATTCTCCATTATGGGGGGGGGAATACCCCTATATATCCCCGCTAAGGCTTCAACAACAAGCCGGTCCTGCTTACCCGAAGCTCCACGGCTGCCCGGCGACTGGTGAAAGCCAGACAGTGCCAAAGGATATTAGTATTTTTATAGTATAATGTAGTATATTCTAGTCTAGTATATTATAGTAATATATTGTGTTGTGCCATGAGTAGCCATGGCATGTTTCATGGAAACTCAAGAAGAGGAGTCATTTCCAACACCCGGACAATTGTGGCCGCTTCAGCATTCTCAGCTTTCCACCCTTAATCCGGACACATTTTTGCTGAGGATCCTAACTTCACAGTCGCTCATTAGTTACAGGCCTGCCGAAGTCATGTTCATCAATGCTGCCTTCCATGCTTCAATTCTGCATTTCCGCTCCCAATTCTGAAGCGCTAGCGGCAGTCCAGGTTTACACGAAGCGGCTCCCCGAGATTTTGGAGGTGGAAGCCCGGATGCTTTAGCTTGCAGGGCAGCGAGTTCGCCATTCGGCAAGCTGCAAGAGCAACACAAGAAATCGTGAGAAGTCCAAGAGCAGCAGCGACAGCAGCAGGATTAGCAACGCCTTAAACTGGGTTGCTGTTAAGGAACTTAAGTTAAGGTACCATAATGGGTATATATAGTAAATAATAGTGTTTCCCCAATATAGTAGCTTAAATTAAGTTCCTTAACAGCAACCCAGTAAACTGATAAAGCGTTTTACATTCCCAAGCAACTGAGGATTTCGACGTACGGTCCTGGAACTACCCCACGCGCACCGCCATCGCTGCCTATCAACACCGGGCTCGAGAGGCCGAGGTTGAGTCTGGCTCTGCAAGTGAAAGCTATGGAGTGTAGGGTTTATAGCCCCCCGTAAAAAGATAGAATATGGCTTTGGGTATATTCTGATAAGATCCCCAGATACCCCATATTCTATCTGGAGTTTAGGGTTTAGGTTACGGGCCATGTTGTCTGAATGAGAGTGCCATTCAAGCATGTTCTGAAAAGCATTCAAAGTTTTGAAGTACTGCCTGACTAACATGGTGTGGTAAGTTGCTTCGGCTTATAAGTTGGGGTCCAAGTCAGGATCAGTTCCTCAGCTCTTAACTTTGAAGTACCAGAATTTGCAAGCACACCAGGGATTCCTGACACTTGGCTAGCTGTGCCTGACGTGCCCAAAACAATCGTACGAGACCCAATGAGTGGGTATCGGTAGTTTTCGCCAAATAGGGTCCATTCGTGCGCTAGGTACGTACCCCGAAGAGGCTCACTATTTGGATAATATAGAGATCCTATCCCGATATGAGCACCTCCTGGACGAAGCTTGCACGCCCAGGAGATCGGCTATCTTCTGGAGGGCAAGGCGCGGAGACATGCTCACGATTTCTGCATAAGCCGCAGGGCCCACTAGTTCGACCACTCGAAGTGTGGCTTTTCTGGATAATTAAGTACTAACACCACTGAAGTATTAAGCAGGGAAGCCAGAACATGGCTCTACTCTATCCAAGAGGAGGGAAAAGCTGTTTGTCAAGCCAGTTGGGCTCAGAGGACATGAGGAGGCAGCAGCTGATATAATCTACTGTAGCCAGTATCATGACAGTAGCTCACATGTCTGTTCCTGGGTCAGAGGCTTCAACCGGTCAGCTGCAACCCGTGCTCGCGCAGGAAAGACCATCAGTAAGATTTCAGCCAAGTTGTTGCGAACTTCCTCCTACCTCGGGTGTCTGCATACGCAAGTGCGTAACATACCGAAGGTCGACGACGAACTGCCGGAGCAGCCCCTTTGCTGTTAAAACAAACTTCCTTCCATCAAGCCGGCCGTAGCGGCTGTATTTCATCTCGTGGTCTTCAGAGGATGGTGGGGAGGTGGGCAGCTGCTGTGCAGGCAGCTGCCAGGACCCTGAAGATGTTGGGTTCGAGCTATGGTGGCACAAGGCCAAGCTATAAGCTTGCAACTCGCATAGGGGAAGGACAGAAAGCATAATCTCATCCAAGGATCCTGGGATGCTTCACGGCGACTCAGCTGGAAAGCCATGGCAGTGGTGACGTTTACAATGGTT